GATCACGGCCGATTCAAATGTGCAGCGATCCCATCTGTCAAAACCATAGAAATGTTTTATCTAGATAACAATAATTTGTCCGCATCAGATTAGACACGAACCAACTCATAAATTTTGTACGCGTGTTCGTGGCTAGGACAAATATTTTCCGTGAACATGGCGGCAGATGTCAGTTTTGTGCTTTGATCAGAAATTCCTTTGTAATTTGTATGATCATTCATGTCGGTTTGTCGGTGATCATAATTTCTGGGGGGGGGGGGGGAATAATTCTAGCAATTCACTTTCCGCTGGTCTCCCAAAGATAAAAGTTCACTGTTTTTAAGTGCTCGTATAAGTTACATTGATCAACAGTGGTTTAATGCCAGAATCATCATATAAATAGCTAAAGAATACCAATTCCCAGTTAGGTCAAAGATCGTTTTTCGGGCGGGAAACTTATGAGAATTTTTGCATCGTCAATCTTGACAAATCTCAAATATAAACGAAGCTAGTACTCAAAGCAGTGCAAAATCATCAATCAAATTATATTTTCCCGCTCTCATACGCTCTCAATATCACGCTTGATATTGATTTTACAATCTCCTTTGATATAGCGAGACTATTCACTACATGTCAGATTAAACTGACGCTGAGAGTTGACTCGGCACAAAACTGATTCCGTTGCACACCGTCTTCTTAGAAAGCGAAAGTAGAGTTTGCCGGCTCTCTCTCTACTCTTCACCGATGGCAGACACGAAGCTACTGCTGCCAGCCAGTGTCGGTAGTTTCGGATCGTGTTCGGATGTAAAGCAATAATCATGAAACTGAAACTCACCACGGTTTGGTTAGCTACGATATCACTAGCTGTTGCTTGCTTGTTGATTTTTGTCTTCGAAAATCAAGCGTGATCTTGGGTATTCGTGAGATTTGACTGACAACACTAGCTCAAAGTATATCAAGCTTCCCAAGTAACCGGTAAGCCTAATACTTATCTTTCCGAACTTTAATGCATCGGCCATGTATCTGCCTTTTATGACAAAACGAAGATTTAACTGGAATTTTGGTTACTAAGGCTGGCTTCTCGGATCGTCCAAATCTGTTCAAATTCAGTGACGATATTTTAGAAAACCCCGGGTCCGACTATGTACCCAAAAATGGTCAATTTCAGCTCATCTTGAACCCTAATGATCAACCTAAACAGTTCTGGTTTGTCTGTTTGAATCAACTTCGATTCAATCCGAACTTGGAAATAGCATTCTAAGTGATCATAGAGATATTGGAATCCTGATAATTTAATGGTTACGAGATGAATATCTACTCTAAATAAAGAGTGAGTCGATAATTATTGCGACACTTTAGATTGATTGGTTGATCGGCTAAAGATATCGAAATGAAACCAAATTGTTACAGTAGTTCAGTATATGTATTTATTTCAGCTTACATACGTAGGTTAAATTTTAGGAAGAGTTTGAGTAACATCGAAGACATCATATCAAGAAGACTGGCAAACTTGCCAGAATCCAAGCGACAGTTTCAGTGGCGCAGCGCTCGAGCGAAGTACCCAAGTAACAATTTGATGCTTAACAAGTGTTGTTCAATCGATTTTAGTTCAGCCTTAGTTTGAATAATTGTTGTACATAGAACACGTTAACCTTTGTTCAGCTTTAAAACATCTAAATCTGGTGATTTTAATCAGCCGAAAGCTTAACAGTTATATTAATTATAAGCTTTTTAAGGCATTAAATAACAGTCTTTTCCAACCCTTATTCAGCCTTCTAGTTCTATTAAGAAAAAAAAAATAATAATGGAAGACCGCTTCATATCTTATATACTTTTATGGGACTGCAGCAAGGTGCTGATTTAATGGATGTACATATTTGTATTGTTATTATTAGTCTAAAAATTGCCTTTGCAAACCGGCAGTCGTTGATTCACAGGCATCAATCATACCTACTGGACCACTCAAGCATATGTGTGGCAAAAAGTATGACCATTAACTTAAAACACGTCAAATTTAAGTTGAATCACAGCAACCGGAAGAGTATTATACAGCAATGCAGAATTGTAAACAACAATTGGCGACAGTATAATATTCCTATCATTTTTAAGTGTAGTGAACACAATGTGGACACAAGTGCCCGATTTATTTCGATGTTCATGTGGAAGCTATTTAAGTGCCATAATTGAGTTATATATTTGTAATGCTGTTTGAAAATTTAGTGCAATATAGCAAGAAATACAAATGTTAATACTTCCTACGTCGTCGCAGCCCACTTCTACCAGCAGCTATTCCTAAAAAGCTCATCTACCTTGTATCTACTTCAGCCACTGCTTGGGATTAGAAAGGTAGGCAGTGAATTTAGAAGAGCGTAAATGCCGGAAATGCAATGAGCTATCAAAATATTTGTAGTGCATTGCTGATTTGTGGAGTAGTGTTAAGCTAAATTAAGGCTTGTTCAATCTTTAGATCAGCTAACTTATTAAGGTTGAATTATGAGGATACAATTAGCTTCATACACTACTAATCAACTATATATTCAGCTTGCTATTAATCAGCTTTGTACACCTAAAATCAACCAATAATCAGCTTTTGTTCTTACTGTTCAGCTTGAATTGTTACTTGGGTAACGTATAGAAAAATTAGCAAATACACAAATCTTTCCTCTGTGGTTGTGATTTTTGCCATCAGATTCGTTCGAAGCATTTACCTTTGTGCGGCAGATGACGCGATTGTGCCTGTCTCATACTGGTTGTATGAGAAAATGGAAGAGTTGCCAGTCTTCTTGTTATGTTATCTTCGACTTTCTTTAGACCTTCCGATGTTCGCGCTTCATCGTTTCGATCGGAAGGAGTTCAGGACACTCAAGGTTTTCATCCAGCTCCAGGCTTGTGGTTCACTGCCACTGTCCATTACTGGATCCTTTGGAGGACCCTTGAGACGGTCGAATGATACATATTCATCAATTTTCCAAAGGCGCGATGCGACAACCCAGGATTTTGCATGTGGATGAACAAAATCCTTTCGCGAATGGTTTGCTGATTTTCTTCCATCTCGACCGGAATCTCACTGACAACTGAACAACTGAGCGGATGTAAACAATACACTCTAAAGAGATGCTGGGCAAAATTTGGTTAGTTTCTGGTTAAGTTTGAAAAAAGTTACGCAAGTTTGAAAGTGTCCCAATAATTATCGACTCACACTTTAAGGTGAAAATTCGAGAACATCCACGTTGTTACAATCATTGAATAATTATTCATCAAATATTTGGGAAATGAACCCAACAAAACAATTTGTGTTGATTAAAGGCTGAATAAGCTAGCTGTTAGCTTAAGAAGCATATTTTTTTCCCGAATAAGCTCTTGTTCAGCTTCCAATGTTTGTTGAGAATCTGTGTTTTTTCATCAGAAAGTGACACTCATTAGCACTATCGCCTGCAAGTTGAAAAGATGATTGGTTAATTGCTTTACTAAAGAAAAAGAGTTTGTAGAACTTCCTGAAACGATACGCAGGTCGTGAAGCTGCCAAACATGTTTAAGCTCAATTTTTGTAACTTGAAATGTGGCAGTAGATAGTCTTTTCCACAATGATCAGTGACAAATAAATGCAAATCTTTAACGCAATGCGGTCAGACAAAAATATAGCTTACTCGTCGAGGAGCTGTCGAAGAAGCAATTGAACGTCAGCTAAGTTTTGCTTCATCCAAGTTGTTGGCATTTGACATACGTTTCAGTCCTGTGAATTTTCAGGGCCGCCGCAAGCAAGCCCGACAATTCTTCTTTTGGCTTATTTATGCCTTATGAAGAGCTCATATCTTTAATGTCAGCCAAACTTCATCTCACATCTCAAGTAACACATATTCTCAGGTAATTATGTTGAGTAAACTTCTTTACAATCAAAACCAATCAAACAAAGGTTACATAAACAGTTATTGAACTTGTGTGTTGCTTGGGATACACACTAAAAAATAATGAAAATTACAGACGACATAATCTGCTACAAACGATGAAAAATTTAGCATGTAATAAAATTGTACATGTAAACTTACAGAATTTGATATATAACTGCTTCAAACATGTAAATATACAAGCTTGTAAATCATTTAAATGATTTAATGATGTAAAATTACACATTTTCTCCTGATAATTTACATGTTTTTACATTGGAAAAGGCTTCTGAAAAGATGGATCTTCACAAGTGTTACGATCTCTTGAATAAATAATAATGAAGCATCAGTTTCAGGTCTCTTAAATGGCCGGTCCTGCATAACAAAATGATTTCCCACACAGTTCGAAAAAGTAGGGTAAATTTCTGTTCAATATGATGCACATAAATGGAGCGTCACATATCATATACGTTTACATTATATATCATGCAAAGTTCTGACACATTTCATGCAATGTAGCAAATATTGTATACAAAAGCCCATCTTTGTAAACAACATTGTTTGCAAGTTGCTCGGTTGCGTGAAATGAAATACAAGTCTACGTGAATGAATGTTTACATCAAAATTAAAATTCAGAATTTTTATCTGTGTACCGCTTTTGCTTGGGTAAAAATCAGATATGAACTTGTGTGTCAGTAGTAAAATGTGTGCAATTCAATTTGAAAACTTTTAACAAGTATTTCATTCAATCTCCTGAGCACTAATGTTCAACAAATAGTGCTCCTTTAAAGCAGTGTAATTTACAGTCTAAGTTGACAGTGGCTAATTTTTGCAGCCTTGGTGCGTCTAACCAACAAGCACCCTTATTTCCATTTTTGAAAATTTTAGGTTGATATACGGCTAGTCAAAAGATTCAAACCGGAAGACCTGTATTAGCTTTACATTGCAAACAACACTATTAGCTGACTTGTTGATTACTTGGGTCTCTCAGCTCAATTTATCCCCATTCAAAGTAAGCCACATTGCAACGATCATTTGTCAGCCCATTTTGTGATTCCGACTACCGACCACCCGATTGGGACATTATTTTAAATCACCTTGATTAACCGCATATCACCCCTCAATCCCTCTCAACAGGTCGTGGCAAGATGAAGAAGATGATGAGCATGATGATGATGGGCTTCATGATGAAGATGGCCGCCATGGTGCCGGTTGCTATCGCTGGATTGTACCTGCTCGCCGGTAAGGCTCTGATCGTGTCGAAGATCGCCCTGCTGTTGGCCGGTATCATCGGACTGAAGAAACTGGTCGCCAGCAAGCAGCAGGGAGGCGGCGGCGGCGGCGGTGGCTGGTCCAGCGGTGGCTCGGGACACAGTGGCGGCTGGGACAGGCGGTCTGCTGACGTTGCTGCTGCTGCTGCCGCTCAGAACTTGGCCTACAACGCGTACGCTGCCAAGAACCAGGCATAGTTCTCCCACTCCCATCCCCCCTCTAATATCCACGCATACACCCACTGCAATCGGAATCAGTTCCCGAGATTTGTTACTTGTTGAAAGAAACTTAAAATAGCTACTACATTCAAGGAAAAAAGAAACGAGGAAAGCAAAACGATCGAAACCACCTATCAACAGCCGACTCCGACGCCGAAAGATGGCGAAACAACATTAAATTATTTATTTATTTAATTTATTATCTAACATGATAAGGAAAACAGAAAAATCGCAAAATCCCAATCAGCGTACGAACTTCGGCTCTAATCCCCTTTGAAAATGTTTTCCGCGAAAAGTGTCCCATCCCACTTCAAGCTCTTTGTCTAAACGCCCCAATTTACCCCACTCCTGAAAGCGAGCGAGTTCTTGCAACTTTCGACGAGTGGAAATCTTATAATTTTCGCATTTTCCACCGATGGTTAAACCTTTCTCTTCGCGCCATTGTCTGCGCTCTATTCATTCCCACTCTAATCTCACGCTCTCTCTCTCTCTGGCTCTTACTAAGTTCCCTCTAATCTACATACAATTCCACCGTCTGCGCAATTCGTTGTTGGTCCAATGAACTTCTTGTGTTCCCTCCACTTAATTTTCCCTCTATGATTTATTCTACAAAACGGTCACGCAATTTTCACTCATCTGTTGTCTCACTTTTACTCATAATCATCACTCTTTCTAGCCCTCTTCGTGACTTGTCTTCATCTATGTTAGACCAACACCTTTTTCACACTTTATTTTCTCTTCTGACCTTGAAATCTTACTTCTGTCTCTACGTACCACTTTCATTTTCATGCCCCTTATTCTAATCCTAATGAACTCTAAACTAACTAAACTTTTTCGATACAGTGCATCGTTGTCAGTTACCTTTCTTTCGAGTTCCACAGAATTCATCCTAAGTCTTCTTCTGATTCTTCAACCGCCTTCTTCTAACAACCCCCAACGACCCACCCTAACTGCCAGCTGACAACGGTTCGCCTACGGTGTCGAAAAAATACCCCCAAGTCAATTTCAGTCCTCATAGGACTTCTCCTCCTCGTCTGCCCGCCCTTTGTCGCTTGAGCAACTATCTCCACTCTCCAAACCTTTCTCTCGCCCCCCTGCTTCTTCAAGTCATCCAAATCGAAGTAAACTCTTCTAAGCCCCACCATCCTCCCGCCCCCCTACCAAACCCCCTTTCAAACTTCGATTTCCCATTGAGTCACAGCTGATCCAACTAGCGAACGATCCTTTATTTTTCGTTTCGAGCTTTAGGCAAACCCCACCCACACACTCACACACACAGAAAATTGCAATTAGGAGGAGATATTTATTCTTGTTGATAATGTGTAAGCTGAAGTAATGTTAATTGTTGCGAACGAATGAAAACGATAATTGTTGAAGAAGAAAAAAAACAACCTAAAACTGAAATGAAACGAATAAACGCAAAAGTTTCCCTTCGAGTTGAAAGAGGAAATTTGAAAAATTAAAGCACACCAACTCCGCTAGGCTTGATTGCCTCTTTCGCACTAACAATCCGAAATTCCTTGCCCAAACACTCCATTCTCCACATTTCATTTGGCACGTTGAGTGGTGTATCGATCTAAGCGGTGTTGATTGCACTTAATGTGCCCCCCCCCCCTCCCCCTCCGAGCAAGACTGCAAGACGCTCAAACGTCCGGGGATCCAAATTGGCCAATCCAAATTCCTCAATTAGCGCAGCCACTCTTCGGGTCCCCGCGCTTGAAGCGAGGAAATGAGATTAAAGCCAATTTTACCCGGCGAAGCTCGGAACCAAAACATGGCGCGCGAACATACCCTTTTTTGCGAAATTGGGGAAAACCAAATTTGCCCGGTCGGTTATTAAAGTGATTGATTTATATTCACACTTTTTTTTCTCTTGAGCAGCAGTTGTAGCTTAAGCGGAACTAATTGCCGTGCACATTTAGACACCGCCGAATTAGGGCTGGTTGCTTGCGCTAGATGATATCCCGGAGCAAACAGAATTTCTTTTCATCAACTTTCTCGCCATATATCAGTCGGTGTGCGAATGGGGTGAGAAATTGATGCACCTGTTTGGAAATTGAATTTCGGACCTCCCCGGGTTACACATGGCCAAGTGACCCAATTTTTGGATTGCTTTTTCATACGGGGCGCGATGATTGCGCGATGATTGGGTATGGTTTTAATTGATTTGGTAATTGGGCGACGGAATTGAGTTGTTTTTCTGGGATGGTTTTTGTTTGTTGGTAGCAGTGGTTCGAGCGCAGTTGGCAAACCATGAACTGTTCTTTATGTTTTCTGTGATCCGGAGAAAGAAATGGAAGTCTCTATCTCTCCCTTCGCAAATATTATCACGAGCCAAGCTAGTTTGCTGTTATGATGGATCTCATTTTGTTTGGATTAACGGTTTAACACAGCCAAACTGAGAGCATATTTTTACGATGGTTGATCGAACGGAAAACTAATCCTGCTTTAAATTAAATCAATTTGATTACAGGGTGGTTCGAAATAACTGTCATTTTTTAAAATTGTCATAACGATTGAACGCTTGTATGGTTTTTTGATATCAGTATACTCCAGTTATAGGGTAGATCTTTAGGACCTCGATAGAGAATCGCACTGTTGTTGTGTGCCGAGTTCTTAAAGAATCTGGTCTACTTGGTTTTATCCTAGCCCCGACAAATCCAAATTAAATCTTTAGTGAGCATGAGCTCACTACGGCAAATGCAGAACCAAAGGCCGTGCCAAACGAAAGAGATCTCTGTCGTTAGCTATCCACTCGTACAACGTTGACTTTTCTGTCCGATCCCAGTAGACGAGATGTGCCGACCGCAGGTTTCGCGTAGGGCTTACCAACAGTGCTGCCGGTAATGGTATCAACCCCTAGACCCGTAACGTACTTGAGGTTCCGCTACCGAGTCAACGTTACCATCTGCTTGCACCTTCAGCACTGCCAGTTTTGAGACTGGACGCCGGAGTACTCCACCTGTAGACTGTACCAATGCTTGACGGATACGTCCGTCACTTCCCTTTATCACTGACAGGACGCGTCCCATGGTCCACCCGTTGCACTCACTATTAACACCAGATCATTCACCTTGACTGCTTCTGCTTCACCAAACCACTTGGTCCTTTTGGCGATCAATGGAAAGTATTCCATAGCCCACCGCCTCCAGAACTGGTCCACGAGTTGTCTGGTCATGTTCCAGTTCGTACGGGTTATCTTCGTCGGTTCAGTTAGTGCTCTTGGAGGTTGCACTACTCCGTTTAAACTCAGTAAGATGAAGTGGTTTGGTGTTAGCGCTTCTTGATTACAGTTCTCCAGAGGGATAAATGTGAGAGGTCTAGAGTTCACAATTGCGTCCGCTTCTGCTACAACGATTAGTAATGTTTCGTCGTCCGGATGCCGGTCATTATACAGCGATCCCATTGCAACCTTGACAGATCTTACGAGACGTTCCTACGCACCACCGAAGTGCGGAGCAGATGGCGGATTGAACATCCACTTGGTAGCCGAGTTCGTAAACGTTTCTTGGAGTTGTTTCCCTATGGCTACAATCTCTTCTCGTAATTCACGGCTGGCTCCCTGAAAATTTGTTCCATTATCTGAGTATACTTCGACCGGTGACCCCCGGCGTGCTACGAACCGACGAACGGCCATCTTGCAAGACTCTGTGGATAGCGAGTGGACAACTTCTAAGTGGACTGCTCTCACCGTCAAGCACGTGAACAAAGCGATCCACCGTTTGACGCAGCTACGACCAACTCTGACCTTCATGGGACCAAAATAATCCAACTTAACATAGGAGAATGGACGCACTGTGGCTGCTAACCGAGCAGCTGGTAGCGGGACCATCTTTGGGGTAGTTGGCACCACCTTGCTGATTTTGCACGCTTGACATTCTTTCGCTACTCGACGAACTACCGCCCGCAGGCTGTAAACATGAAATCGCTGACGAACTTCGGTGTGAACGGTCTCCTGGTTGGCGTGTAGATATTTGCGACGATACCAATCTAAAAGTAGCGTAGTCATCGGATGCTTGCGTGGCAGGATAATAGGGAACTTGAAATCATGCGTGACGTACGGGACTGCTCCGATGCTACTGTCAACCCGCATTACACCCAGCTCGTCCAAGAAAGGAGACAGCTTGTAAATCGGGCTTGTTCTTTCGATGTGCTTCTTCGGATTTCCCTGTACCAGCTTCAGCACCGCTACTTCGTCCGGATACGATGTCGCCTGTGTTATGAACCATAGACTGTTCTCCGCTCGCTTATAGTTCTTCCTTCGTTAATAACCGGAAATTGGCGGTTGCTCCTTGGATCGACGGCGGCATTTTTTTTTTTTTTTTTTGCAACGCTGTTCAACATCACTCTTTGTTTGTTGTTGTCGCAGATTTTAATTCGCCGTTTTTCGTTGTTTTTTCGCGCTGTTTATTATCGGACGCGCTCGTTAGTGCAATATTTGGTCAAAGCATATCGGAATCTAGTGTTGTTCACCTAGTTGTGCCACAGTGTTTTATGCAATTGTGTTTTTGTGAAATACGCATTGTATCATCGTAATCGCTCATACCTACTTACCCGCTGTCTCTCTTCCGAAGCGCCATCTACCAGTAAACTTTGGAAGCTAGCACATCTCAGTAACCTAAACGTTGCATACATCTAGGCGCTTTCATTCTTACTTGGATCACCGTAATATTGCACTGCATTAAACAACGGGAAGAGATTTCTCATCGTCATGAGCGCTTGTAATACTTGTTCGGAGCCTATTGACGGCAATGACAAATACGTTCTCTGCAGTGGAGTCTGCAACAGACTGTTCCACTTCAATTGTGCTGGGCTCAACGTTACCAACTTCAAGGCATGGTCATTAGACTGATGCAAAATTTGACTTTTTCGCTCCACGGTGCTTAAATGGCTTCAAATCGGGTCGTGATTAGCCTCCAAAAGTTACATCTCATTTGGTTAAAAACAGACTTCGCACAAACCATTTGAAGTTTACTTGTAAATTA